CCCAGACAGAGCTCTGTGTGTGTGTGTGTGTGTGTGTGTGTGTGTGTGTGTGTGTCTGCTGCAGTCACAGACACAGGTTCTGCTCGGGTCCAGACGGGCCCTGCAGCACAGATCCAGGTTCATTTATAGCCATGGTCTCTTCCTGTCTGCCTGGCAACTCCTAAATGTGCTCGAGTACACACACACACACACACACACACACACACACACACACACACACACACACACACACTCACACACACAGGTCCAGGTCCAGCAGACGGGTCATGTGTGTGTCTGTTGTGTTGCAGGTCTGAGGACGGCACCATGTGGAGCAGTCTGAAGAGCAGATGTCAGACCCTCTTCCAGGCTTCAGGACCCAGTGAGTCCAGGCTGGACTCGGATGCGGTCCACTGTGTGCTGGACCTGGGTGAAGGAGGCAGTTCAGGTGAGGTCCAGGGACCCGGGGCCCCCAGCCCGTCGTGGAGCCTGTCCCCGGCGCCGACGGTGGCGGCGGGACGCCGCCATCATAACTGTGTGACGGACATCCCACAGATCGTAGAGATCTCCATAGATAAGGACTCTGAGGACGCTCGGGGGGGTTCTGGGGTTCCCCAGGCCCGCAGAGACTCGTACTCCCGCCACGCTCCGTGGGGGGGCAAGAAAAAACACTCATGTTCCACCAAAACCCAGAGCTCTCTGGAGTCTGAGCGGCACTCCGGGCGCCTGAGGGGGTGTGGCCACCGCAGAGAGCGGCGGTACGGAATCAGCTCCATCCAGGAGATCACGGACTCGGGGTCYGCAGGACACGGTCTGAACCCCCGGTCCCTCCGCCAGCGCCTCAGTGACACCGTGGGGCTGTGCCTACCACTTCCTGTGCGCAGGCGCTCCCACTCGAAGAACCCGGCGAACCCCAAACGTAAGATCCACCTGACGGAGCTGATGCTGGAGACCTGCCCCTTCCCGCCGGGCTCGGACCTGGCTCACAAGTGGCACCTGATCAAGCAGCACACGGCGCCGGTCAGCCCGCATTCCTCCACCGCCCTCCTGGACGCCTTCGACTCCGCCCACCCGTCCCCCGAGGACGAGGAGGAGCGTCTGCGCGAGCGCCGCAGGCTCAGCATCGAGGAGGGCGTGGACCCGCCCCCCAACGCTCAGATCCACACCCTGGAGGCCTCGCTGCCGCCTTCTTCTCTCTACAAACTGGGACCAAAGATGGCTCCCGGCGCCGGCGAGGCYCCCGGCGAGGTCCGGGCCTCGGGGTCCGGCGGCTCCCTGGCTGCCGTGTCCTCGGGGGCCTGCGGGTCGGGAGGCGGGTCGTCCCAGGACTGTGACTCTGAGGAGGACTCCACCACCTTGTGTCTGCAGGCCCGCAGGCCCAAACAGAGACACGCCTCCGCAGAGGCCCACCTGAGCCGGCAGCAGCCCGGGCCCTGGAAGGTCCACACCCAGATCGACTACATCCACTGCCTGGTGCCGGACCTGCTCCACATCACAGCCCTGCCCTGCTACTGGGGCGTGATGGACCGCTACCAGGCCGAGGCCCTGCTGGACGGGCGCCCCGAGGGCACCTTCCTGCTGCGTGACTCGGCCCAGGAGGACTACCTGTTCTCCGTCAGCTTCCGGCGCTACAACCGCTCGCTGCACGCCCGCATCGAGCAGTGGAACCACAACTTCAGCTTCGACGCCCACGACCCGTGTGTGTTCCACTCGTCCACGGTCACAGGCCTGCTGGAGCACTACAAGGACCCCAGCGCCTGCATGTTCTTTGAGCCGCTGCTCACCGCGCCGCTGCACCGGACCTTCCCCTTCGCCCTGCAGCACCTGGCACGGGCCGCCATCTGCCGCCGGACCACCTACGATGGCATCGGCTCGCTGCCGCTGCCCCCCGCCCTGCAGGACTTCCTGAAGGAGTATCACTACAAACAGAAAGTACGAGTGCGCTGGCTGGAGAGGGACACGCCGCTGCGCCTCAAATGACCTGGACCGTTAGAGGCGTGGTCATAATGATGTGGCTCATCAGGATTATAACAAGCTAATAAAGTTTATTAATACTGTTTATTACATATTATTACCATGTAGTGACTGAGCTCGTCTGAAGAAACATCACCTGCATTTCTTTTCTCTGCTTTGTTCTGAGTAATACACCTGCTGCATGCCCCGCCCACTCCCCTCAGCCAATAGAAACCTCTACAGTTGGCCCTGCCCACTCCCCTCAGCCAATAGAAACTGCTACAGTTGGCCCCGCCCACTCCCCCAGCCAATAGAAACTGCTACAGTTGGCCCCGCCCACTCCCCTCAGCCAATAGAAACCTCTACAGTTGGCCCCGCCCACTCCCCTCAGCCAATAGAAACCTCTACAGTTGGCCCCGCCCACTCCCCTCAGCCAATAGAAACCTCCACAGTTGGCCCTGCCCACTCCCCTCAGCTAATAGATATATTCAGTTGGCCCCGCCCACTCTCAGCCGGTATAAACATCTACAGTTGGCCCCGCCCACTCCCCTCACCCAATAGAAATATCTATAGTTGGCCCYGCCCACTCCCCTCAGCCAATAGAAACATCTACAGTTGGTCCCTCCTCCTGGTTCCATCTCTTAAAGCACTTGATGACTCACYAGGACCAGGTGTGTGGGTCTGAGCTTGGTCCTGATGCCATCAGGTCCAGGATTGGTTCTGTCGGGTCCAGAACCTTAAACCCTCAATGATACCTGTTAAAGCAGCTCCTCTTCATCAGCCTCAGTGGAACCTGTGGGACCGGTTCAGCCGGTTCTGAAGCTGAATCATTCCATCAAAGCCTCTGACCCGACCCGCTGTGGTTCTGCTGCAGAACCTTACACTGGGTCTGATTGTTTACATTTGAAGGTTCTGACCCGGTTCAAACAGAACCTTGTTAACGGTCCAGATTGATTCTGACACAGAACCCAGGTTCTGTCCTGCTGCTGTCCTCCCTCTGTGGACAGCAGCAGGACAGAGGACAGGTGGACAGAGGACAGGTGCATGATGGGAGCTGTAGTCTCATCATGTCCACAGCAGAGACAAAAGGTGCTGAAAGACTTTTTAGATTCAACATGTAGAAATTTAATTATTTTATTTATATCTGTCAACTCAGTGAGACCTGGTTCTACTGGACCTGGTTCTACTGGACCTGGTTCTGCTGGACCTGGTTCTGCTGGACCC